CGTTAGCATAAATTTGCATTAATCAACATAAATAACCGTCAATTAACATTAATTAGCATATTTAATCAACGGAGGAGTGAATGAATGTTGACGTGGTATTTGAGCTGTGCAAATAGATGAACGAAATGGAAGCCGTGCTGCACCCGCATGCGTTGTATAAGCATTTGCGTGCCTTTGTCTGTTTGCTTGTATGTATGCGTGTGTTTGTTTGTTTGCGTGTGCATGTTTGTGTGCGTGTGCATGTTTGTTTGTGTGTGTGTGTGTAGGATGTTAGTTTGCATCTGGGATTGTTTCAACGGCTGGTTTTTGTATGCGTTGCCTGGATGTATGCGTGTGTTGACTGAGCAAAAAACTGGCATTCCACGATTCTTACTTGGAGTCTTACTAGTTAGAACCTTACTCATAAACTTTCTTTTTAAAATATTCGCTATGTCGATGAATGTGATGACTATGGTGACGACGATGATGATGATAATGACGATGGTGATGACGACGATAATGACGACGAGGAGGAAAACTATTTTAAAGATGAAACATTTTTCGAAGATAAAGAAGATTAGGCTGATGAGGATAATTGCTTTCGAAACCCAAAAGGAATCTATCAAATTGATGGCAACGCTATTGACGATGATAATTAATGAAAGGACAAATTGTTAATGATGACATTTATGACAATTAAAGTAATGTTAACTCACTCTCTAAACGGTTATAACAATGTGATTAGTAACAATACTATACTGTTATTAATGATATAAGAAGAAGATGGTGGTTTTGAATTTGCTAGTAAAAGCAATGTGATGATAATGCTATAAATAATATTTGTAAGGTGGTTGATAATAATAAAATTTAATTTGACTATAATAAAAGTAATAATTAAAACAATTCTGAAAGTTATGATCATAATATAAATTATGAAGATGATTTTAGAAGAATGATGATGATAATTGTATGATGATGAAGATGATGACAGTGTCAAAGATGCAGACTTAATTATGTCCAACATTAATCAAGTATGATTAATGGTTGTTTTTTTGGACCGGTCTTCACAATGATACCCATAATATGATGCACAATTTGCGTGCGTGATTCCGTGCGTGCGCGTGTGTGTGAGGGGGAGGTAGTTTGTGGCTTTTTTTATTTCTCTTCTTTTTCCATCCATTTTAAACTTTTACGCAAATTTTTTCTCTTTCTATCCCTGTCTCTCCTTATCTCTCTCCCTTTTTCTCACTCTCTCTGTGTGTGTGTGTTTGTGTGTGTGTATGTACATCTATGTATTGCTAACATTGCGAACTATAAATAAAGCTGCGTGCAAATTTAATGAGACAAATGTTCAGCCAATAAGCGTAAAGAATGCTGTGCCCAGAACGAGCAAAATGAAAGTCGATTTTCTAGATGGTCAACAGAATAGCACCAAGTACAGTAATGCAATTATTGCGTTGTTTTGCGTCCGCGTACGTGAAGGTATGTGTTGAGTGTGTGCGTGAGGATGTGCGTATGGTTTGCCGTGTGAGTATTTGTAATCATTTGCCTAGGTGGGCATTGTTTTTCTATGTAGTGTGTGTGTTTGTGTATTATTTTGGGTACGGAAGAATATCTGTCTTTAATTTTTATGTTTATGTGTTTGTGAATAATTGTGCGTGTGTGTAGCTTTACGCGTGTATGTGTGCATGTATATATGCTTGTATGTTTAGGATTCAGACTATCAGATATACAGTTGTTTTGGAATGCTGTGATTTTCCTAAACAAATGTATGTATGTATGTTTGTATGTGTACATATTCACTGATG